GATAAAAAGAAACAAAAGCCATATTAAGCAACATAAGCAACAAGATGGAGCTGAAAAAAGGCCGGAGAGAGGAACGACATGGAAGAACAGCCAAGAAAATCGAGAAAGAAAAAGCGATCCATGGCTCCAAACCCTGTGCAGACCACCAAGGCAAACGGGAATCCGAATGATCTTTTCCGGGAGCTAGAGGGCCAAAACAGGCCTGACTGACTGCTACACCTGCTTTCAGTGCTTATTCCAAACATGACACCAACTCCGACCGGAACTACGAATGTCATTGGGGACAATTCCATACGAACAAATCCCTCAACCTTATCAGAGCGCAGCAACGACAGCTTTCAATCCTCGTGGACACTCACGCCATAATATACTTTCTTGCTAGGCATGTTATTTTCTCAATGCCATTCGGTTCACCGATAATATACAGAACGCCATGTCGAGGTAGCCTCTGCAGTTACACTCCACTACACAACCTGCAATACATGACAAACGAAGCCATGACACGTGGCTATGCTCTGGTTGGAATGAACAACCTTTTCACTCGCACCGTTAGAGTTTCGTGGCCCAATCCTGCTGTGGGTGGTGGAGTCTTCCAAGCTGTGAACGACCATCTCTGTCGCCGGATGATGATATTTGGACAGATATCCGGCCAAGGGTTTCCCTAGAAACCTCTAGATCGAAAGCGACATGATACACGTTATCATGTTTTAGAGTCGTCTGGCACTACTTCTTGATGGATTTGAGAGCAAGCAGACACGCACGGCAAAGTGGATGTAAAACCCACAGCAGGCAGTGCAAGTCTTCTTCGACAGGTCAACTTGGCCGGTAGTGAAGAGACAGTCAGGCATCTGGAAGAAACCTGTGCCTGGGCTGCGGACTTCGAGAGTAACGATACTGCTGACAAGAGAGTTGGGCTGTTGACAGTGCCTTTAACATGGCATCCATTGAATTTCATGCAGAGTTCGATGAGACGCCTGTTCACGTGTGTTTGTGGTTACAGTTGCAACGCAACCACATAACAGTGAAGATGGAGAACAATAAAAACTTTGAAGCTCCACCTGATCGATTTACTATAATGTGACCACGATACTAAAACATACTTTCTTGGTTTACCAGACAATCGCCGCACTTACGCGACTGGGAGAATTGCCACACAAAGTTCCAAGCACGGTGTTCTGCTTGCGAAGTGGAACAAGTGAGAAACCGGAAAGATCACTGGGGTGGTGATTGCATCAATGCGGTCAATGTAGTGACAAGCTGAATAACTGCGGCCTTCGCTCCTGCGTTGTATGTTCCTGTTACCGCCGAACCAGGTCTGCACGGTAGCACCGCGCTTAAAGTTCTTCGGAAAATCTCGCCGGAGAAGCAAGGATGACTGTCCTGTCTTCTTGGTCCACTGAATAAGATTTGCTGGTGCCCATCTCAGAGGACCCCCTGATAATACGATCAAGCCCCGGATCAAGCTGTCTCATCATCAAATCCTTGTTGAAGAAAAATCATGTCGATCAATAACTACGAGGCCAGATATCAACCATGCAGTGGGAGCACTGATAATATTCTGCTCCAACACATTGCACAGGCACGTTGATCGCGCTCTTCTCATTCTCAAGTACCTCAAGAAAGCAGAAAACTCAGCATTCTGTTTAATGCCGAACCTGACGCCTCATTCGCTACCCAGACAGCGAATGGGAAACATGCCAAGACAGTGACCCGACGCTCTGTTACCGACTGGGCTATTCAATTAGAATATAATGTCTTGTTCTATACATTGAAATGACGCAAAAGATAACAAGCACGATACATCGCTGCATCAGACCTGTCCAATGATATCATATTGGCTTGAATGATTAGTAACGGATTACCGATATCCCAATTTGGAATTGCTTCCTTTCATCTGCTGGAAGCAAGTGTGTATGAATCCAACGTGATCCGAACCGATTGTTCGGGTCGGTCTGTTCCTAAGCACATTAGGATAAGAGGGACACTGATGGAAATACCATGCGTTAGTCCGCGTTATATACTAGTATATCCTGCTACGGAAAACTTAGGTTTGGGCTTCATAACTCCCACCTGACCACAACGCTTCCATAGAAATAAGGCAATCTCGATCTTTGCCAATGTCGGGGTTCCCATTGACGATATGAAGGCTGTTTAATGTGGTGAGGAAGGAAATAAAAAGGAGACTATGCAGCCTCAACGAGCTCTCTGAGGAACACACAAACTTGCTTGATAGGTTTTCTCTCTCGTGCAGAATAAACGAAACCTCCAGGCGACGAAAGTCAGACCGAGCCAGCTATTGTGTCTTTAGACTTACAAGTCCCTCTGATGAACGCCGGGATTAAAACATCCGTTCTTCCGGCACAGTGCTCGAAGATATATATGAAGAAGTACAGACCGTCGCTTTCATTATGTCTGCAATGCAACTCAGGGGGATGGCATTGTCTCCACAGCCGACCGTGTGCTTTATATACTGCACGGTACTCATGTCCGAAGTTATTTCTCAAAAGCGATCCTCAACCACACGGGGCAAATCAAACAAGCAGTGCTTCCAATCACGCGTCCTCTACATCACATTGAAATACTGCAATTACTTATAATGAGAGATGGAGATTCGGGGTTATCAGATTGTGGGGACATGACTCCTGGGGACTCTATACACAACGAATCCCAATCACCATGTCTCTTGTCTCATGTGCAGTGCGCCAGATCTATGGCTGCTTTGGAGGGTGGTATATATGATTTGGATATGGCGTATAGATCAATGGGGTTCAAGTTATCTCTGAGTTTGGCATTGTCCATTAGTCCACCGGCCCGACTGTTCACTGTGAGAGCGGTCTAAGGGCGGAACAGTCAACGTCGATTGTGAAGAGGGTAATTGGGCAAGGAGTAATGTCTGGCCCAAATAATGCCTGCTTGCGGCTACAGATAGGGCAGTATATGGCAGTGAAATGGCAAAGACAGTGGTGGGGGAACGTGTCACGGGAATTTGAAATTTTTGGTTACAGGGAACGTTATTGCGGGCCACACCATACCCAGTGATAGAAGTGATGATGATGCATATCTCAGATATAGTCACTCGATTCTTCACTAAGAATCTCATGTTAGATGCTTGCCTGATCCTGTGATAGCAATTTAATGAGTTCGTGGGCAGGCAAGATTCTCATCAAGCACAACCTATTGCTTTCGCAAGAATCTTGAGAAAAGAAATTGTACTTAGAATAGATAGGATTTCTTAACCTCACAATACAATAAAAAATGCATCAACTAAACTTGTCAAGTTCACCTAAGAAGTTGTATTCCCCCGAATCCTCGGCTCAAGAGGGAAATCCTGTTCCTCTGGCTCCAGATCCTTGTACAAACTATCCCATCTCTTCCGCAGTGGCTCCGGGGTCTCCCATGCGTACTCAGGGTCTCTCAACCAGAGACGTAGTAAATGACGCCTATATCCTCATTAGTCATTCTCACACTCATATCTCTGATAGAAGAATTACTTACTCCTTCCCAGGTCCATCCGTAAACCCATTCCTCGCATGGAAGATACTCAGGTTATTCACATACTGAATATCTCCCTTCTGGAATCCAAGCGAGGCACTGTGCTTCTCGGCCAGGAAATGCAGCGCATCGAGCGCCTCAGCCTGCGCTTCAGTAATCGGTGGGATATTGGTAGACCGAGGCTGTGCCATGAATCCGGTGAAGTAGCGGCGGGCGTATTGGATCAGGACTCGCTCCGGGGTGCTAGATGTGGCGGCTTGGTGGTAGAGGAGAGGACGGGTGCTGTATGGTTGCGTGGGGTTGGAGAATCTATCTTCTAGTTAGTGTCGATTATGTCACATAGGGAGCATGGAAGATATGTACCCATCAAACGGCCATTCCTGCGTAAGCGTATGGATCAAATCCGGCCTTTCCTTAGCAAGGATATTGTAGACGTGCCAGCTACTAGCTAACTTGCTCTCTCCGCCTTCTGCGGCTTCTTGGAGACAGAGAAGGGAAATAATGTCACCCGAGTCGGTGTGGAAGACTTGCTTATCGGCCGTGTTGGAGGGCGCGCCGATAGCCCCCGGTTGGACGGTATTGGAGATGTCTTTAATGTGGGATAGCACACGGGAAGGGGTTCCCTTGGCCCGGTTATCTTCCTGCCTGCCGCGGTAGTTGCCGATGTGGGATGATACGCCGGCGTAGATGATGATGTTGTCTTCGCGGGAGTAGTGGTCGATGCGCAGGCCCCGGACGACGACGAAGCCCCGGCCTAGGTGGATTTCGCGGGAGAGGTCGCGAAGAATGGGGTGGAGGGTTGGTAGGGGGAAAGTGGACTGGTTGATAGAGCCTAGTGGAAGGCTCTTTGCTGTGGAGGTGTTAGCAATATGCGTTTCTTTTTTGGGATTCAGATGAACCACATTTAAAGGACTGCAGCGCTTGGTCGATTTCGTCAAGCTGCGCATCGTTCAATCGGTAGATCCAGTCATCGCGCTTCTCTACTTCCGTTCCCTCCCAGACCAAGGGAGAGTTCAGCTGCTCGGGGAAGGCTTGGGGCAATGTCTTGGGTAGGGTTTCAGTGGTAACACGGCGCTGGGTGCGGGCCGTATATTTGGCATAATCGGGGTGGTATTGGATGTCCGGTTGGACGAGTGTTTGTACCTCAACCATGGTGGATAGTAATTGTACTTTGAATTAACTTCAACGTGATGTCTGCAGAAAACGAAAAAAATAAGATGTGATAACGAAGCAGCCTGGGCTCGGTATATAATGGTGTGCCTATCACACCATCTCAAGCTAGCATTACGATGCCGAAGGCATCCAGAAAAGCGCTGGCTGTCATTCGCCGATGCCCCGCACGGCAATGACAGAATACGTTGCGCAGGAATCGCCATATCTCCATTATCGGATATCGGCAGATATTTGAAACGAGGGGCTCTTCTCTGTTATCCTTGGCTGATAGCAGTCTATCAAATGCGATATTACATAACTAGCGATTGTCCCTGAGCTTTATTTCGGTTTGGAGATGTTAAGACTTTATTATCAGGATACCTAGGGCAGCTCAATACGTTACAACCATAAGTGTACACATTCACCTAACAATGAGATTAGAACTAATGTTTCAGGCGACCGAGGGGTACGAGGATGGGAACATCCTCAACTCCCTTGCATTGAGCCCAAAGGTGCTAAGCAGCAGATCAATAAACGCGATCCGTAAAGTCAACCGCCTGCGCCTTCTCGATGATACCATCCAGACTTTTGACGAATGCCAGGTGAGCTGGATCCTTGGACACATAGTAATCACGATCTTCAGCACTCGCGAAGTGCACCACAAAAGCGTGGGTGATGCCGTTCTTTGGGATTTTAGTTATGGAAATGTGCAAGGAGGACATTCCTTCATCACTCACTTGGATGCCTTCGGGCGAGTTGTCCTGCCCGCCCGATGCGGCCTGGATGTATGGCTTTTGTGAGGTGGGGTGTATACAATTATCTTTCAAAGCGAGCATACGGGAGCACACCTTTGGGGACGTCCCAATGTTAGATGTGGATAAGCGCTAGGTGGGCTGGTGTAACTTACATCTTTGATTACTTCGGGGCTCACCTCAGCTTTGAATTGGAACATGACAATGTGAGTGATCGACATGTTGGGCGATGACTGATGTGAAAGGACTGGTAAAAGTCCGGAAGGGTGTTTCCAGAGGATGATGGTGAAAAGAAGAAGAATGGTGATGATAGCCAGAATGACTGCTTGTCGCCTCGGAGCTACCATGATATTGCTGCGCCCGCCAGGTTTAGCTGCGGGGTAAGTTACTGGCCACCTCGCCGAGTGGATGAACGACGCGATTTCGAATGATTAGCTACTCGGGGAGATACTTGGTAATCTGTCCGACCTTTCGTTGAACTAGTGCTGTTTTGCTCCGAAGGAGAATGATCTCTCATTCGACAGTACCACTATTTTTAGTGCATTCCTGACCCACAACAGCCACCCGCGCCTCTGATGATTGCCTAGACGTCTGGCTACCTTCCACAAAAGTTCCATCTTTCTCATGATGTCGCATTGTTCAACTTGCTTGGATAATTCAGAAGCGTAATAATGGTGCTTTCTGGCGCTTCTCGTTGTGATGGTAGGCCTATCCATGGATTCTATAATTTATGGGCTCAGAACGCGAACCAGGAATGAAAAAACCACACTATCTAGATGACAGTCATAAAGCAGTCCGGCTGCCTATTGCTGAAAAATCTGGATAACTTACAGAACCATCTGAACCACGCTTAGGAATGTGACAATGGGCCCGAAAATTGGTAGTACTAGGCAGAAGGTCCAATACTGTCATGTATCTTGTCGGTCCGCAGGAGATCTCGCATAGATTTATGTCGAGCATCGCGAAGCTCTTTGGTTTGATCCTCTCATATAGAACTGCGACAATCCGACCGGCAGAATAGATAGGCCTATCGGCCGGGATAGACGATGATGATGATTTCAGCTGCTTTCGGATGCATAGATGTGGTAGCAGAGAAGATCCTCCATGATCTTGTAAAATTTTCGCTCGTTCGAAACTGTGCTGAAACAGCTTTATTGACGCAGCTGACTGACCAAGCAGGAGACGATAGGATAAGAGCACCTCCTGTAGGAATTGAGAGATGTCTTTCTTATCAGTATGTAAATACGTGAATCTTCTCCGGCGCCTTCAATACTTGCTAAGGCATTGATGACACCCCGCGACTGGAGGGCGTCCAGACACATGGATGGATAGCCGACCAACGACAAGGTTCGACAGATCTTATCATAGTCTAGATGAAGTGCTAGGTTTCCAACCCTTCGGGATCTGTCACTTAGAAAACGCGTACAAGCGATATGCATTGGTATCAGTGGGACAGGATTGCTGACCTAGAGCCTTAGGGTATTTGCCCAGGGAAGTGACGAATCCTTTATGAGCCTGAATGCTGTAGTCGATGGGCTGCCCTGGATTTGCTGAGACTTGTTTCTTAGCCACCGTGAAGTAAAAGCACAAAGATGTGTACGAAATATATTCTCTCATAAGATGTTACACAAAACCAAGAAGCGGCGACGGACTGTCGCTGCTGTCCTCTAGCGGATAACCCCATATCAGCTTCTGTCAGATAATGACGGATATTTAACGAACGTGAAGATTACACCTCCCAATGCGGACCTTATAGTTGCTGGAAGCCATCACGAGTATTATTCTCTAATTCAGTACTCTCTACATTATTAAATCAATGTACCTGGTACTCCGCCAAGGAAAAGCTTTAGTGGCCCATTGCAATGGGAGAATTCGATTGCTAATCCCTACATCCGCTCTCTCTCCACTCGATCGAAAGTAGGGGACTCAGAATCCCGCTTGAAGAAAATGATACATTTTTCCTAGTGAATCAATGTGTAGACTGAATACTTTGTCGATGGTGCAAGCTTCGCGCCACGGAGACCGCACTTCACGTTGTCAAGATTTTATTCGGCATCCCGCCTGTCGGCAGCTGATTAACCCAGTCTCGTAGATCATCGCTACAACTACTCCAGCCGGAGCGCCGGCATCCCACTTGATGGATACCAAAACTTTTTGTGAAGTGCCATAACGCCGGTCTGCTTTGTTTTACCGGTATCCCACTTGTCAGGGGAATAGGAATAAATGCCATTAGTGATACATCTGCGCTATATAAATACTAGGTCCCTGTTCTATGTACTTTACATCCCATACCATATGCGTTCTAAGTCAATTGTAATCGGCTTAATCCACAATGCCTTCTTCCAAAGATGTCGATATTTCACACGACTCAAGGTCGAGCTTCATCCCGGCAGAGGGCTATTGCGCTCCGAGTATGGAGCCCGTGATCTCAAAGCTACCGAGCATTCAGAATCCAACAGAATACGAAGTCTACTGGCAAGAAGATGACACAGAAAATCCCCGTTTGTGGCCACTATGGTACAAGGCTATCGTTGTCGCAGCCATGAGCCTTGGTGCCACGGTAGTCAGTCTTTCCAGCACTTTATATACATCTGGTATCCCTGGCCTTGAGCAAACTTTCGGTATTTCTAAACTGAGAGCCCTGCTTGGCGTCACCACCTACCTGCTGGGCATGGGGACAGGAAGTGTTCTATTTGCTCCGTTGAGCGAGCTCGTTGGTCGGCGGCCAGTCTATCTCATCTCAATGACGGTTTTCTTATTACTACTGCTGCCTAGCGCCCTGGCGCAGAATTTTGAGACAATCCTTGTGAGCAGATTCTTTGGCGGGCTTTTTGGAAGTGCCCTGATGTCAAATTCACCCGCTTCAGTCAATGATATCGTATCCGATACGCATCGTCCCTTAGCGTTAGGCTTCTGGTCCATTGGTCCTACGAACGGCCCCGTCTATGGTCCGATAATTGGCGGATTCGTCTACGAGTACCTAGGATGGAGGTGGACGAATTGGATTGTCCTAATCATTGGAGGCGTCATCTTGGTTCTAATGGTCTTCATCAAGGAAACGTACGCCCCAGTTATCCTAAGGCGGCGTGCAAAGAGCCGGAGAACTAAAACGCAGAATCACAAGTGGTGGACGCGTTATGATGATACACATGAATTGATGCCATTACTGAAAGCCAACCTCGGTCGCCCATTTTTAATGCTTCTAACAGAGCCGATTTGGTAAGAACAAGATGCTCTTCTCATAGATTACCCTCTTCTGACCACACTGCAAGCATTTTCTGGGATGCATACATGGCGCTTGTCTATGGCGTGCTATACCTATGCTTCGTCGCTTATCCTATTGCCTTTCAACAAGAGCGCGGATGGTCTCCCGGGATTGGTGGTCTCTCGTTTATCGGCATCGGAATAGGCGTTCTACTAGCCATTGCATGTGAGCCTATATTCCGCAGGGTGATCAACTACCACCGGAAATCAGAGGATGGCACAGTACAGCCAGAGGCTATGGTGAGCATCGTTGGCCTTGGTGCTACTCTCCTGGCCATAGGGCAGCTTTGGTTTGCGTGGACCTGTACTCCAAACGTGCACTGGATCGTTCCCATCCTGTCTGGTGTTCCCTTCGGAGCTGGCAACGCGTGTGTCTTCATCTATGCTTCCAATTACATGGCACGCTCTTATGGTATCTATGCTGCATCGGCACTTGCGGGAAATATGCTTTGCAGGAGTGTTATGGGTGCCGTTCTTCCACTTGCGGGCCCGTCCATGTATGCGACTCTCGGCTTGAATTGGGGGAGTACACTCCTGGGTATCGTGGAAGTTTTGTGTATCTCCATTCCCATTGTTTTCTATCTTTGGGGACATAGGATTCGTGAAAAGAGCCCGCTTCTTAGAAGGATGCAAGGTTCCACACTTTCCTAAAGCTGTCGATGGCTGGCCTTGACTATAATTTTGTTCCCTCATATCATAGAAGAGTTACTAGCATTAGCGCAGGCAATACAGATCGCGATTTCATTCGAACATTGACTCAGGCCTTATTAGGCTATAGCCTTTTAGAAGGTTCCGTGTTCATTATTGATTGTTCAAAAAGCTAGTTACTGACGAGTGAGCCCAACGCACTATGGCCATGCCTCCGTCCCGAAACGACTGTGGGCCGGATTCCCGGGGCAGTCGGACTCTGGGCCCGCGTACTGGGACCTTACGGCCCGTGGAACTAACGAGAGCCGATGCCATCTCTCCTGTATGTTTTCTCGATTGTTCTGTGACGACATGGTAGATTCTGCCGATACTGGGATGTTGACAAGTGCTTCATGTTGGGCAAAGAGAGTTGCAGGTTCTGACCTTTCGGACTCGCGGGCCGGCGGGTCGGCAGCTCCGAAGTAGCGGAATGTTGCTACTCTTGGCATCCCGAAGGGTACCAACCTTAGCACAGCCAAAATTTTGATCTTGCTATGCGTTGCATCCTATGGTGGCATGTGTTGTTTTCTCGATTTTGAACTCCCATACATGCTGAGCAAAGTGGATTCGTTCAATCTGGGTGGTGTTTGTTTCGGACATCTGGGACCGCAGGTCCGAAGGTCCGACAAATAGATATATATAACACCATCACGCAATGAGACAGAGACCAATGTCCTCTTGATTCGTCAATATAATTAGTTAGCATGTCGGTCAGTTAAATTCTCTCATCACTGACACATGACAATCGGCCACTGACCATACCATTACAACTTTAGCTTCCGTCCGGGTATGCTGCCAACTCCCTGTCGCCGGCATTTGACCTCGATAATCATGTTGATTATACTATCGAGAGTTTCAGCATCACTACCGAGTGCATCGATGCTTATAAAGAGCTTTGATACACGAGGGGAGCAGGCAAACCTCCCTTCGTTATCTATAGGACATCCGACGACGAACACTCTATTTATGACTTGAATGAAGATGGCAGGGGGTAATTGAAGGATTCCCAGAACCAGGCAAAGCAATGTGTCTTTGATATGCTATTTCTCATCAGAGCGACAATTTTTTTTTTTTATTAACTGGATGCTAGATGTGACGTCTACTCGCGTAGGTCATTGTGCTCTTGTATACTCGACTTCTTTAACTGTTCCCACTGACATGATCATAGATCTGTATGCTGTATGCTTCTATGAAGGAGCAGCTTCGGAAGGCCATGGATGTCAAAGTATCTATTCATGCTGACAACTTACACGATATTGGATGGAAAACCATACTGAGAGAAGCGAGTGGTGGACGACTCTAAGCCCTTTATGCCGCCCCTTTTTATCACCATGGAGGGAAGCCTGTTCAGCACTATGCTCTTCCAATCATTGGCACCGATATGGACACGAGAACATATTATAACCCTTTGGTTAC